AACTATACTCAAAAAGTCCTTAGACTCAGTCAATACTATTACTAGTAGTATGTCTGAGAGAAATAGAAGAAATAGTAAAAGGATCCATTTGTACAAAAATATTCATTGTAGTATTTTTTGTTGTAGCAAAGAACTGGAAACAAAGGTGGTGCCTATCAATTGGGGAATAGCTGATGAAATTATGATACATGAATATAATTGAATAATATGATAGGTATAGATTCAGGGAAAACTGTGAAGATTTGTATGAAATGATGTAGTAAAATGAGTAGAAGCAGGAAGGGGAACAGTTTATATAATCACTACAACATTCTAAAGAAAAGCAATATGGAAAGACGTAAGAATTCTAATAAATGCAATGACCAATCATCACTCCAGAGGACAGAAAATGAGGCATGATACCCACCTCCTAACTGAAAAGTAATGGACTAAAGACTCAGAAAGACCAGAGGTTTTCAGACATGGTCATTCCATGAATTTGTTTTGTTTGGCTTTTCTTATTATTTACAAAGAGGTTTGAGTTATTTTTCATTGTTGTTTATTAATTAGGGGAGTAGAATAAAAGAGATACTATTGATAGTGATATACCCAAAAAATGAAAGTAAGAAAAGAGTATCAATGTAACACTGAAAAAAGTATAGAAGAGAATTGAAAGGAGATCAGAAAGAGACATGAAGGACAACTTTGGAACCTTGTTGAATTTATTATATCCTTTTTTAAATGAAGCATTTAAAAATGATTCTTAATATTAATTCAGATTTTCATATACTTTTATCTTTTTCTCTTCTTTCTGTAAATATTCATATTCACTGGTGCCAAATTCATAATAACAAAAAATTTTTAGCACTTTGTAAAACCAAAAGTTCTGTATTAATATTATATGTTTGAACTAATGATAATAATCACAGAATTATAAATGTAGAGCTGGAAGAGTCTTCAAAAGCCTTCTTGTTCAATCCCTCATTTTACAGATGAGTACACTAAGCTGGAGCAGTTAGGTGGTACAGTGGATAGAGTGCCTCAGAAAGACCTGAGTCCAAATTTGACCTGAGATATTTACTAACTGTGTGACCTTGGGCAAGTCACTGAAACCTGTTTGTCTCAGTTTCCTCATCTGTAAAATGAGCTGGAGAAGGAAATGGCAAACCACCCTAGTATCTTTGCTAAGAGAACCCCAAAAGGGATCACCAAGTGTAGGATTGGACTGAAGGACAATAACAAACACTAAGACCCAGGAAGACTAAATGATTTGCCTAAAGTCACATAGGTGGTAAGGGTCAGAAACAGAACTTGAAAGGAAGTACTCTGAGTACAATGCTGATGTTATTTCCCACTAATCATAATTAAAATTTTTTTGAAAGAATCCCTTTCAAGTCAGGTTGAATTTTCATCATATATAGTGAGGGTATGCCATATAATGGACAAGTGGTTTTGACTGAGTTAAATGTGGTAACTATTCTATAACCAGAAGGCCTTTTCCCACAGCAGGATCCTAAATACTACCTCATCTGAGCTGCTGTTTTAGGGAAAGGAATGGAACTCCAGATAGCACAGAGGAAAAACCCTCTGCTCCTTTCTTTCCTCACACAGATCCTGTCTGTCTTGCATTTTCAGCTGAATGTGCTTTTATTTCATTGTGGATTCAGAAGCACTCCCATTCCATAGCCCTCCCTCTTCATGCTCTGCTGGGGAGTCATTAAGTGACTGAAACGGATGACATCTGGATCATAGGCCCAAATACTACTTAAAAGCTATCAGCGAAAACCAACCAGAGCTTTTTGGTCCCCTTAGCTAACGTTTTCCGTTATTTTTTATCACAAGCAAATTATTGCACATCCCTGGAACACACAAGCCCAAGGTCTCTGTTTTGAGCATTTACTTCAAAGGGCTCCATGGCGGGGGGGGGGGCGGGGGGGGGGGGGGGAGCATTCTATGCTTTATTTCCTGAGATTAAGAAAATAAAAACCCAAACTAACTTGCCAAAGGAAATGGAGTGGTCCTGGTTTTTGCCTTTCTTTGTATCCCCAGCACTTAACACAGTGCCTGACACACAATAAGTGCTTAATAAATGCTTGCTGACTTGACTAAAAACAAAGATTACCCCCCTGAAATTAAATCAATGATCCTTCCCCCTGGCCTAAATCTCCAACTAAGGTTTTCTTTTTTACCATGTTTACACTGCAGAATTGTGCTTCCTTTCCCTGGTCTGGTATTTCTCAATAATACGGCAAACCATGCCAATGCATCAATTATTGATGCACAGTGACCCAATAAACTAACACAACACATTAGATTCACCACTTGCCTGGTGACTCACTAACAATGAGGAGAAAGAAGGAAAGGAGAGAAAGAAGGGGGGGGGGGAATCAGCAAGATTTACTTAGCTCCCGGGGTGATACTGTGTTCCCTTTAGTGAATCCCTGTCTATGCTAAGTAAATTAAAACTGCAAATCATGTAAAATCCAAAATGGGAAAAACCCACCAGTCCCTCTCTGAGTCACATTTCTTCAGACTTGGTCCCCATGTACTACTTCTGCCCTCCCCCTCCTTTCCCAACTTCCCCAGTAATATCCCAAAACTGTCACATGGGAAGAAAAGGGAGGAGCCAGAACACCCCAAAGTGTGGCAATTGTGAATCACAATTATAGTGCCCTCCTGAATGCTGACATAAAAGAATGTAATTGGGTAAGCAGCTAGGCTGAGGCAAAGAGGCAGGAGAGGCAAATGCCTTAGCCATTTAAAAATAATGGGTCTTTAAAGTAGGTGTGTATAATACATAAATGTGCAAGGCATAATGCTATATCTCTGTCTAAACAGCTTCATAAAGGGCAAATTAATTCAGGATCTAACTAGGCATTTGGAACCATAACCTAGTTTTCCATATTAAGCTAATAGCTAGCAATTTTGCTTACACTTTTATTCCCTCATAATACATCAATGATGATTATTTAGTGAATACGTGTGAAAGGCCATGTGCTCAATACTTCCATTTCTTACTTGAAAATGCTGCTTATCCTTCTATGTCAATGCTTTAGCTGTTGGTATACCTAGAACAATATAGCTTTAACCATATACTGTTAATACTATATACTGTTTCCAAACTCTTTTAGGGGGACATATGTGAACATACACAGAAAGAGATTTTTTTTCTAGCAGGTCATTATACATGATCACCATAAGAAATGCATGTTATATGTGTATTTATGGGGGAATTCAAAGGGGTGACTTGCTAACAAGATGAGGTATCAAAGGTCTGAATGAATGTTACCTCATCAAAAGTCTTAACAGGAATTAGATTTTATACTTGCCAGAACCTGAAAATTATTTACGAGGAAGGGGTGGAGGCAGGGGAAGGAAGAGGGTTTCTGGTGGTCTTGGACATCTTTAGTAACTTCAGTAAAATATTTTGAAAAGGGGAGAGTTGAAGAGGAAAATCTGGGCAGAGATATAAAAAGATTAGCTAAGTGATATATATGTATATATAGGTATGTATACATATACATATATGCATATGTGATTATTCCTGGAAAGACTGACTTATAGAACAAGCTATTGTTCCATTACTACCCATCCAGATGCAGCAAGAGGAAATACAGAGGGTGATTTAGGGAAGTGAAAGAATATGGGTAAAAAACAACAACAACAACAACAACAAAAATTACCTTAATTTAACGAAAGCAAACTCCTTAGTCAGATCGTCAATGGAAAATAGGAGTGAGTGCTTGGGATGGTCAGAGGACTTCCTTCCCCTACCCCTTTCATATTAGCAGGAAGAGGAGACTGAAGAACAGGGTTTGAGAGTTAACGTTTTATTTCATCAGGTCTAGCATGAGCTCAAGCTCCCTAGGACAGGATTAGGTGGGAGGAGCAGTATTATCCAAGCTTCCAGATGTGCCTGGTTAGAGGGGCCACGGGTTATTTCTCCTCAGACCACTGGGGAAGTTGGCTGTATTCCCATTCTTGCATGAGAACGGTGACCAAGGACACAATTGTACATGAAAACTACCAACACATAACTAGGTGGGCATTGGGTAGAAAGAAGTAGCAGTAGCGGTTGGGTAAGGAGGGGTGCGGTGTACCATCAAGTTCTACAGTATTTCAGAGGTAGGCTTCTTCCTCCTTAGCCACCTGAGCAACATTTCATTAACCAGCTCACTGCTGGATAATCCTCTACTCTACCATCCCTCCACCCAGAATACTCCTATTTTTATTTTAGGCTACCTATTCACTTCTATTACTACAGCTTTGGACAGCTCCACTTGCCTGAGATTTGAGAGATAAGGTCAGGACAACCGGAGCTACAGGACAGCAGCTATTGGGAACCCTGAAAAGCCACAGTGTTTGATTTGTGGGCAAGGAGAGGAGGAGGTTTAGGTAAGATCCTCAGACAGAAACACGCTAGTTCTACCTGTTCTCTATATATCTGAGAGAAACACATACACACACCCCCCCCCCCCCCCACACACACAGAGCACATGCACCCTTATTCCCCTCCCAACAGTTTTCTGCCGGCGTGATCTAATCCCCGCATCCTCCGCAGTCTCTCCAAAGTGACTACATAGAGGGATAGAGGGGCAGGGCACTGCGTCCATTTTGCCAGCTTCAAGGCGCTGAGTTTGGGAACTTTGAAGCCCGGGAGACTGGGATTGGGTAGGGGTTGGGGGTGGGGTTCTGAGGGCTGTATTTAGACACTGGATTGCTCTACCTGGTAATCAGTGGAGAATCAAGACCCACCTTCCACCTCATCTGCTTCAACCTTCTCCCTCGACCTCAGTCCTTCTGATATAACTGAATCCCCCCTAGTACTCTCATCCAGCGCTCTTGGGAACAGAAAGGAAGAGGCGCTCATAGTTTTGCAGGTGGGGAAGCCCGCATAGCTCGCTACCCCCAAGCGGCCGGGTGCCCTCCCCTTCCCCCTCCGCGGGTGTTTACCCAAGACAAAATCCATATTTTTTTTTTCAATACACAAGACAACCTCTTGAATCGGATTTGTTCCATACCTGATATGCAGACGATGAAATTGGCTTGAAGGAGAAAAAGCACCTCCCAGACTATTTCCATTCTCCGATTCTCATTCCAAGTGCATCACTCGACGGAAAAAAAAAAAAGGAAGGGGAAAGGGGGAGCCCGCCACCACACACGCACACACACACACTCACACGCACACTCACACACATACACACACTCTCTTACGCGCGCGCACACGCACTCCCACCCCAAAGCCGGCCAGTGACTACCACCCCCAAGATCAATATCTCAGTTTGAATTGTTCCAGCAAATCTCCCCTCGAGCTCGTAGGATCTATTTCCCAGATGTGCTGACACATGTCCAATGTTTCTCTGCCCCGACGGTCTCTCTCTTCTCCTTCCTGGACTCTCGAAAGCAGCGGCAGCAGAAGCAGCGGCAGCAGAAGCAGCAGCAGCCGCCGCCACCTGAGGCCACCAGCGCCGGACTCTTGCTTCAGAAAACGAGATCCCAATCCACCAGGCCCCCCAACAAGACATAGACGACAGCCCCCCGCTGGGCCGCGTGGTCGAATGCCTTCCCCTGCTCTAGCTCTCTCGGTGCCCAGGCGGTCAGCTACAAGTTGCCCTCGAAGTCCGCCCACCTTACCAGGGCATGGTTAGCTTTTCTTCGGGGTTCCTCTCCTGCTGCCCCGAGTGGGGAGGGCGGGTACACCATGCAGGAAAAGGAGGATGGGGAGGGAGGAGAGAGGGAGAGAGGGAGAGACGGAGGGAGGGAGGGAGGCAGGGAGAGGGAGAGAGGGAGAGAGGGAGAGGGAGAGAGAGAGAGAGAGAGAGAGAGAGAGAGAGAGAGAGAGAGAGAGAGAGAGATTTGAATGTGACTTGTCATAAATCTCTGGCAGCTTGCAGCCTCAGCCGAGCCCCAGGGTTACTCCAGGAGAAGCTTTTTCTCTTCGTCTCCCTCTCTTCCTCTCCTTCTCCCTCTCTCTGCCTCTTACCCCAGGGCCCAGACTACCCTCCTAGAAAGAAGGAGCCCCTGGCACCTTGGGCGAAGAATCCTTAGGGAGAGCAAAGTGCGCGCGGCCTTGGCTCAAGCTCCTTGCTGGGGGATACGAGCCGTGGCGCCCGAGCCACGCACTTCTTATTTATTTATCTATCTATTTCCCTTGCTTTCTTTCGTTTATACATTTATTTCTGCCCGGCTCCCCAGCTCCCCAGCTCCCCAGCTCCTACAATTTCCTCTCTCCTCCATCACCCGTAGTCGCTGAGATTTTCCCGCAATGAAACTGCAGGGGTCGTTCTTTCCTCGCCTATAGAGCTTGCTGTTTCCAGGGACTGGGGGGGAGGGGGGGAAGATGGAAGGAAAGAGAGGGGGGAGGAGGTTTGCAAAAGGAGGGGGCGACTAAGCCAGGTAAGCTCTCTTTCTTACCCCAACCTCTGTTGCCTCAGGCTCCCAGGGCCCGAGTCCCAGATAACCGAACACCCGGAGTGGGGAGGGGGGGTGTTGGAGGTGTACTTTAAGGTTAGAATCAGGGAGCACCACAATTGGAATGAAAATGGGAAGTTTCCTAGGGCTTTCGTCTCCGCCCCTGCCAGGGGCATAGCATCTCACCAGAGGGCTCTGGGCCCTGCCACCTGGCCAGTTCCTCCTCCCTCTCGGGGCACCGATGCAAGCCTTGTCATTTTAGTTTCCAATCTCATTAAAAATAACTTCGCGCGGATCTGTGTGGCGCCAGAGCCCCGGACGGGACTTAGCCGAGGAGTTGCACTGAGGTTCTCTCCCTCGGCTATGTTTCCCCTGAAATATTGGGATCTCTTTCTCCTCTCCCTTTCTTTTTCTGGTCCTTTTTTTTTTTTGCATAATTTATTCCCTGACCTCTCCCCCTCCTACTTCTCCCAACTCTCCCTTTCCCCCTCCCCCTTTGCCGTTCAGCGCTAGAGCGCTACTTACCCCCAAAGTTCTCCTTTTTTCCGGCTCGTAAACCAGATGTAACTCCCTTCTGCAATCTCCTCCCTTGCCCTCCCCTCCCTCTGCTTCTCCTCCTCCCCCAAAGGGGGGAAAATAATTGACCAAAGCTTTTCGAGGGCTGAGTGGACGTAGCGGACGGAGGCAGCCAGCGGATCCCGAGCCTGCTACGCGCTGGGGCTGCCCGGGACTGAAGTCTCAGGCCAGAGGGAGGGGCGTTGGAGAGCTGCGGCTGCCCTCAGCGCCTCGCCTCGCCTGGCTTTTTTTCCGCTTTTTCTTTCTTTTAGCTCTAGCGCTTTCCAGTCCTTTGCGGGGCTCCAGGATATACTCCCCGCTGGCGGTGCAGCTTCCACCGAAAGAGATTTCCACACAAAATACGCGCGCGCGCGTGCGCGCACACGAACACACACACACAAACACACACACACACACACACACACACACACACACACAGAGCTAGAGAAAGCGGTTCTCCGAGGTCCCCTGGGGAAGGTGGAGGAGGGCGCGTGCACCAAGGGAAGGAAAGAGGTGCCAAGGGGCGTTTCATCACTGCAAGGGGGGGCTGTGGGTGTGTGTGGGTGTGTCTCTGTGTGTGTGTGTGTGTGTGTGTGTGTGTGTGTATGAGAGAGAGAGAGAGGGAGTGAGAGAATGTATGTGTGTCTGGGAATGGGGAATAGGGGAAGCAGGAGGGTGATTCGCCGTAGGTCAGCGACTTGGCCCGGGGAACACTTGGAAGGAATCTCCGCAGTCGGAACAGTTTGAATGGGGGCTTGGGGGGCAGTGTAGAGAAAGAAAAAAATGATGGGGTGGGGAATGTAGAGCGAGCAGGCTTAAATAGTAGGAAAGTGGAGAGTGAAGAATCCTAGTCGAGGATCCCTGCAGATGGCTCTGTGGCTGCAGCTGCCGTTGTGACCGCTGTAGCTCCGTGATAGAGCCGGAGACTTACTTCCTTTGGGGGAGGGGCAATGAAGGAGAAAGGGGTGGAGTGGGGGTAGGGTTTTGCACAGTCCCCAAATTCTCAGCATGCTTGTCCTGGTTGCAGAACGTGACGTTAGAATATTTCGCACGAGCGTGGACAAATACACACACACTCGCACGAGCGCGTGCGCACACCCCGTAGGGAAATTTTTTGCACTTTTCCATTCTGATATTCAAGGGACTTTTGAGCAAGACTCCAGCTACATAATTTCAGAGCATGGGCGGAGGAAGGGGCGGTTCGATTTAGGCGCTCACAGAGAGAATTGCCTGCTTTCCCTGGACATCTCCAGTTCTCATAATGTATGTAGCTTGGAGTGAGGGGAGCTTAGGAGGAGTGGGAGAGAGTGCTGGGTAATAAGGTTCTTAAACTGAGAAGAGCAGAACAATTTTCGTCGGAGCTGAGGGGTGGGGGTGGGGAGGGGAGGGTGGATTTCTTAAGAAAAATCTGGAACCTCTGGAGTTTCGCTAATCCAGCTGTTGCCTCCAGGGGTTCAGCAAAAACCTTTGGTTCAGTTCCCCTTCATTCCCCTCCCCTCCATTCCCCTCCCCTCCTCCCCCCGCCCCAGCATCGTGCTTGGAGATGGAGGAATACTGACGTTGACAGTCATGTCTTCGGGATTTCGGAAGCTATTAGAAGAGAAGGGGGGAAATCTAAGAATGGATAAAATAAATTCAGGGTCTTTATGTAGAGTTCCCCAACAGCCTCTGAGAAAAAGATGGTGAGACACAAGTACACTGAGGAAATAACTGAGATAGAGGACTAGGGTTTTCAAAATAAATCATAAAATGTGGTTATCTTTGTGTACCTTGGAAACAAACTGAGGACAGATTTCCTGAAAACTCAAGGGAAGGGGCTGCAAGCAGTTCGCTGAGAATAAAATTAACCTTTCAGAGATCCATGCTCATCTGTGGGTTTAAGTGTTCAGAATTTCTATCTCCTTCTGAGGCAGAATGCCTCATCTTTTCATTATCACACCTTCTTTTCCCATTTCAGATCAGTAAAGATTATATGGGCCATTCTAAAATGTCCAGTGAGGACCAGACACTATCTTTCTTAAAAGTATTTATTGACTGTACATATTGAGTAAACTTGACTGTCCTCTAAATGTTTGTAGTCTAACCACTTCGAAGGGTATTTATTTAGGCATTTCCTGCGCACCAGGTGAGCTAGGCTATAAGAAGAATAGGAATATTGTCTCATTTGTAATGTAAGAGGCTTGGACTGTTTCCCAATATAACTGAAACTAATTCTGACAGTCAGATGTGGTAGAAAAAACCCTGGCCTTGGAGACTGAGAAAGGCCTGACTTTGAATTACAGATGCCTCTGAAATTGGTCTGTGACTAATGTTAAGTCACTTAACCTTTCTTTGCCTCAGTTCACCTAATCTCAGGTTTCTCATCTGTAAAATGGGTATAATAAAGGCTTGCAATCTTTACTTAACAGAGTTGTTGTGAGGATCAAATGAGATGATATTTGTAAAGTTCAGCAATTATTACTCAATAATCAATCAATAAGCATTTATTAGGTGCTTGGTATTTTCAGGCACTGTGCTTGTTCTATTAAGCAGGGTTTGCCCTGGCCCTTATGGATGCTAGATAGAGAGTCAGCCTCAAAGTCAGGATAGAGCTAGGTTTAAGTCTCACCTTTTATACCTACTGACTGTGCAACCCTGAGTAATTCACTTAACCTTGCATTGTTCTAGGATTTGACTGTAAGTGGCAGATAGGATGTCAATTTCCATTGCTAGAGAGAATTTCTTTACCTGGGACTTCCCTATGGCAATGAAATGACAGGTCAAATCTTTGCCCCCTTCCTATAGCCCTGCCCCTATTTGTATAACATTGGGCAAATCACTTGAGTTGTCTGAGCCTACTCCCCCCCCCCATATATATGAAATACAGGGGTTGAATTAGAGGATCACTAATGTCCCTTCCTTCTTTAAATTATATTATCCTATCAACAGTCAAGTACTAGTATGTTGCAGTCAACAAAACATTTATTACCAAAGGTACTTAATCTTAAAACTCCTACAACAACAACAGTTTATATAGTGCTTTGTAAGGTTTTGCAAGGTGTTTTACAAATCTCATCTTATTTGGCCTTGCAAACAAGTGGCATATTATAGAGGAAAAAAAGTTGGAACTGAAGTCTAAAGACTTTGGCAGCTAGGTGTCCAGCCTGGAGACAGATCTATCAGGGCTCAGACACTTACTAGCCATGTGACCCCTGGCAAGTC